GAAGGGGATGGTTCGGTACATGTGTGTGGTGATGGGTTTTAGTTGGTGTTTTGGTGGTGAACATGATGTAATCTGTGCAGAAGTGGAGGTGTAGTGATGTACATCTGAAATTTTTACAATGTTGTAAACCAATGTTACTGCAATAAACAAAAACAAAACAAAACAAAAAAACAAACCAAAAAAACAAATACTGCTTTATCATCATTTTCTTGCTGTTCTTCAGATGTTGAACAAACACCTTTTTCCCCACTTCTCATTGTTATGTAAAAATATATGTACATCAGGCTTCATTTTTTAAAAAGAAACCTTTGTCTGAATTTTAGGATTATTTCTTTATAAAAGTGGAATTATTGGGTAAAATTTTCTGAATGTTTTTTACTATTTTCGTAGAAAACTGATTTCTAATTTTTAAAATGTTTTTTATTCTAAAAAGGTTTAATATTTATCTTAAAGCTTACTTCTTTTAAAAATTCCCTGAACACTTCAAATTTTTAAACATTTATTTCATTAATAAGTAATATAACTTAAATTATTTTTAAATTGTATAATTATAATATATAATAGTTTCTAATGAATAAAAACTTAAACATTTCTATTTTCTCTTTTGTAAATTTATGTTAATATCTTTTACCATTTATGAGGTTTTAAATCAAAGTATATGAACACTTTATATATAATGTATCAACCTCTATACATGTGTACGTATATTACATATACCTTTTTTGCTGTATTTTATCCAAGGTTTCCCTAATTTTTCTTTTTATAATTCTTTTTTTAAAAGAAATTTTAATTATTCTGTGGTCAAAACTAGAGATTGTTTCCTTTCTGGTTTCTTCCACTGCTTTTATACATAAAAGCATACTCTTTCAGAGGGAAAAAGAGAGGAAATAAGTAAAATTTTTCTTCTTTTCTAAGTGAGTGTCTCAGTGTAAGTGAAGAATCTAGGGTGATGATTAATTTCTCACTGTGGTAGACAGGCAGTAAATGCGTACCCTACCATCCTGTAAGAATTGAGGCATCTCCCACTGGCAGTAGGGGATTTACAGACATCTGAATTTGGTGCCTTGCTCCTTTCATACAACAAGAGTACCAGCCACTCACAGTGCAGCACATAAAGTAGGCATGTGTCCCTTTTCTCCTTGTCCGTTTCCTCCTGGCCCATGTCTACAGCTTTCCTACTCACTCTTTAAGCCAGGCATCTCATCAGACAGGATCAAACATGAGAATTGTCTGAAAGGTATTATTTCTTCCCCCATACACAAGGTTAATGGTGGGTGAAGATCTCAGCATTAAAAGTTTTTATTCATCTTTGTTTGACTGCTATGTCTAGTTTATTGCCATATTCTGTTATGTTATTTTCTTTCTTCTCAATCTGCTTGCTTCTTTTCATCTGCTTATTCATGAAAACTCTGGTAATCTGTCCCCACCTTTCATACTCCAAATTTGTCACTACTGCTTTCTTCATCTTGGATTTTCTGACCCATCAAGTTGATGTCACAACTGCCCTGTGAATATTCTGTGCTTGTTTTGACCCAAGCACTTACTCGTGTTATCCTGCCTTGCATACCCATCTTCTTCCTCACTGCTTGCCGGAATCATGGCTCTTCCAGTGGTTTGCTCTGCAACTTTGGATAAATAATCTCAGATTTCCAGATCTCATGTCATCCCTTAAATAGGGGAATTGGACTCTTTAAAGGGATAATGCTCAGAGTAAACACATCTTGAATGATTGGCTCATTACCATTCTCTTACTCTTGTCCATTGCCATCCCAGCTGAATCTGCTCCTCTTTGATAGGTCTTTCTAGCACCCGAGAATTTACACCATAAGTTGATGCCACCCCTAGGAACACTTGTATTTTCCAATCTGTGTGGCACCCTGCTGGGCTGCTATAGAAACTCCTCTTCATCTTTCCTTTCCTTCCTCTCAGGTGTATCAAGGAACCAACCTGTTCCAGGCACTGTGTTCAACTGCAGATGTTATTGAGAGGCTATAATCTGTCAAAGAACTTTTACTCCTTGGAAGAGATGCAAACCTGCAACAGATAATTATACATAGTAAAGTGCCAAGTGATGAAGGTTAACATCAGTGATGTCATGTACCCCTGAAACTATGTGAGGATCAAGGCGCTTCACCTCTGTGCATTCTTTTAAAAAAACCCATAACCCCACTCTAAGCATGAGAAAAACGAGAAAAACATCAGACAAATCCAGATTGGGGACATTCTACTGGATTCTGGCCCATTCCCTCAAGACAGTTAAGGTTGTGAAAAACAAAGACTCACTGGGGAGACAAGACACCTAAATGCAATATGGTACCCTGGATTGGATCCTGGAACAGAAAGAGGATATGAATGGAAAAATTAGTGAAATCCAAATAAAATCCATAAAAAAAATTTAGTTAAAAAACAAAACAGTATATCAGATACTAGCTGGGATACTCAGAAGCTGTGTGAGCTTGGATAAGTTATCTTACTTTGCTAAGCCTTACTTTCTCATCTGCAAAAAGCCAACAGTAATGGTACCTTCTAGGGCTGATGGGAGGAATGGGTGAGATAATAGAGGAACAGAGATAGTACATGGAGAATGAGATGATGCAGGGGCAGAGCATGGCACATGTTGTAGTTGATGTCGTTATTCGCCAAATTATAGGCACATACAAAGTTCTGTCAAAGCCAAGAAGCATGTGACTAATTCTGCTTATACAAGTGCTTCACAGAGGTGTTGCTATTTGAACTGATCTTAAAATATTGAATACAGTGAGGAGATAAACTTAGAAGGCAGAGGAAACAGCACATGTCAAAGCTTGGAGGTGGGAACGGGCTGTTATCTCCGCTTGCCATTTAACCTAGCCTACTACTCGGATTCTCCTTGTGTCTTTCCATTACTCTTATCTGGGATAAGATCAGGCCGGATCCCCATCTTCTGCTTTAAAAGCCTACATATACACTACGTGTTTTCCTTACCCCCCCATCAAAGTCATTCCTTTTTACAAGAATAAATTATATAACATCTTTTTTCTTTAGTTATTTCATAATGTTTCTCAAACTGCATCAGCTCACAGATGTCAAATTCTTCCCAGATCGTAAATCTGTCCCTTTTCCAACATCCCAGCAACTCTGCCAATCTCACCTTGTTGATAGTCCTAAATATTGACCTTGTCTCCGTCTTACTAAATGTACTGACAACTTTTTTCAGGTTGTAAATACATTATCTAATGTATTAATTTATTATTTATTTCTTTATATCTGTACATTTTAGCACTGTATGTCCTAAATTTATAAATACCTAGAGATAGTCTCTATTTTAACTGTGAGTTGGACTTGTCATAGTAATATACGCAAAAAGTCCCTTAAAGAAGTACCTTTCGCAGAGAATAATATTTTCTATTCATCTCTTGGCACAAAAGAACGAAGACATTTATCTTGCATGCCTGTTTTATTAGAGAGCCTTCTTTTGTCGTAGGAATTTTGTCCGTATTCAGAAAAGAAAAATGCTATTTATCTGTAGAATTAAGCTGCCTCTGCTCCCCTTGGTCATTTTGAAGACCCAAAAATCACCTTATTCAAGATAACTGGGGTGCCTCCAGTTATTCCAAATGTGTGTGTCATTACTTATAATGAATTCTGACAGTCTTCCCAACATAAATGAGTAGCTTATCTAAGATGTCTGGCATATCTTGACAGTACTTGGAGTGGAGGGTATATTTTTCCTGCAGACATCTTCACATGGGAATGCTTAATTTGTCATCTTCTTTGAGAGAGTCAAAAGGAGTCCAAAGCACTAAAAATGTTGTCAGACGTTACATGAGATCCAACCAGCTATATGAGCTATTGTTGGGCTTATAAATTCTTGAACTGACATCTCAAGGATTTTATAGAATGTGCTGAAAGAAAATATAATGTAGACTGTTATTTGCTGCTGACTATTCCTAAAGCTAATAATAGACTTAGAGCACTGAAAAGGTATAAAATAATTCTTAAAATGAAATTCAGCTCGCATGTTTAATTGCTCTATTGGCAGTCAACAGTTGGCAGCCAGACTTATTTATAAACAAAAGAGATCAGTAACACAATAAGTAAAACAAATAAAAGTTTCTAGTAAACTAATTTCTATTAAAAAATTAAGTAAAATAAGAAATAAATTCCTGAACTCCAATTACATTCATAGTTTATGTGAGCTTTTTCAGGAAACGAGATAACCTGACACCGTGCTTATATCAGGATAAAATTCAAAAGGTTAATACCTCATTAGAGGTTAAGAAATGCAGCTTTGCTCAGGAAACAGGTAATTGTCAATAATACTTGAGGGGAAGGACTGTGCAGTTAATTGAGTTCTTCTGGCAAAAACTTTTAGATGCATTTTAAATAATAAGATATTTTTAAAAGAAAACATTAGTCAGACATTGATCTTTAGGACACAATTTCCTTAAAACAAATTCTGCTCTTTTTAGATTAGGGCTCTTTTCTCCCACTCTGAGTATAGGGCTGGTGTGTTTTTCATTTATTCTCTCAACTAATCCTCATGACAGACCTGTGGTATAGGTGGTGAAGATCAATCCTACCATGTTTTAATGTTCATAAACTCTTACAAACTGACTAGCCATTCAGAAAAACATTCTGAGGCTGTATTGCACAGACAAGGCAAGACAGAATTATGTAATTAGATCAGACCAACTTAATGGCCAAATAAAACCATTTTAGAAAACTAATTCTGCTTCTACCACAAGTGTTCAAGTTATTGATGAGGCCAATCCTTTCTTCATTTGTATAAATTCATAGACATGACATTTTCTAGAACATTTAGAAAAAAATTATATTCTTTCTCAGTCAATAGCTTTATGTTTAATCAAAACATTTAAAAAAATCCTCGCTCATCATTTTCTCCTTTGACACTCCAGCAGCTGTTGTGATAGTACCATTGTTTCTCTTTGCTTTCCTTGTTGCTTTGAAAATGAGTTCAATGTCCTTTAACACAACTGTTTGACCTTATACTTTTTCAGCTTATTCTAAATACAAAAAAAATTTCTATTTCCCTCCATAACTGCCTACATTATGGTTTTGTGTTTAAAATTCTTGATAGAGCTTTAATTCTGCCTTCTTTCCTGAAACTCTACAGGTCTACAAATTGCCTAGTAGCCCTTATTTTGTGCTTGAGGTTCTGTCTTCTGTTTTCAACTCTACAATATTTCATATTGTGTTTCTGTTACATCCAAAATATGAGAGACGTGGCGAAGGGCTTTGTGTTGTGTTAAAAGTAGCTTTTACTTATAAATTTATCATCTCTTTATAAGTATTTCTGTTGTACAGTTCAGCACACTGAGGTTGATATGAGGAACATTGGTAGACTGATACATACTAAAATTGATAATGCCTCATATAGGAAGTAGTATTGTTTTTGTAGTAATAACCCCAGAATGCATTTAGGGAGCACTGCATTCTCCTGGGTAGTCCCTTTTTCTCTGTTTATAGAAATTTTTTGTTGTTGTGAGTCATGACTTACAAGGCTAGCCTGGAAATGGAAGGCTTTGGGGCAATAGCTTGGTTTATGGTCTCAAAGTTTAGCTAAAGAGGTGTTCTAGATATGAGACCTAATTTAAGACAAATGTCATTGTTTGTGTTTACAGATATTGATGAATGTCAGCAAGGGAATCTGTGCATAAACGGGCAGTGCAAAAACACCGAGGGCTCCTTCAGGTGCACCTGTGGGCAGGGGTACCAGCTGTCAACAGCGAAAGACCAGTGTGAAGGTAGGAGCATGGCAACGTGAACTACTGTGATGTCACTTAAGGCACCTGGCCTGAAAAATTGTGCACTCAATAAAGTGAGTGTGTCTTTGAGAAACTACCTAGACAATTGCATTATAGAGCCAGAAATCAAGGGACTTAAACTTAAGTCAGGAAAGTCAATAAAACAGGATGGAAAAAGGTTAAATTTGAAAAATATAGTATTAGTGATCTGGGCATTAATTAGTGGCTGGACATTAATATTAGGAAGAAAAATTATTGCTCTATGTAACTCCTTACTGCAGAAAGTCAGTTCTGTTAAATTCATTTGAAAATTCTACATACTAGGATTTCAGAATATCAGCCTGGTATTATGCTGTGGAATGTTAATAACCTTAGTTTTTGTGGGTATTTAGCTTTTGAAAATTTTTCCTTTTTTTAAAAATATCACTAAGGAAGACTTTTCAGCAAGACTGAAGTAAATAGTATCCCCCTTATACTCATGGATAAAGTTTGTGAAATATGTCATATTCCTACAGGTGGTGATGAGGATTTGGGACCTCACTTGGGGTGACCTTAGACTTAAAAAAAAAAAAATTATGCATTTCAGTGAACTTCATACAGAATTACTTCACTTCCCAATAAGTATATGCTTCCTGAGCTTGAAGATATAGTATCACCCGTGACAAGCACCAGTGTCTAGAGTTGCTGAAAAGAAATATCATTTATTTAAGAACAGAATACACACTGTACAAAATCAGTTGTTTTATTATAAGGAAACAAATCATATCCATATCTATATGTAAACTTTGAATATTTAATGAGTAAAAAGGTCTCCTGAGAGGATGTTATAAAAGAGACAATATATGATGGTACTACAAAGGGAGCTACCAACATTATCATAACCTTCGCCAATTATTCCTTTCTGGAACATGGAAAGTCATTAAATACCTAATCTAGAAGTGGAGAATGATAGAACACACACAAGTACACTGACATAATATAGATAAATTGAGTAATTTGTTCTAGATTCTACGAGTCCCTCTCAGTTTTTTTATTTTATGACCCCTGGCCTTAGTTAGCTAAGCATTTAGCAAGTGCCCACCTGCATAGAAAACTACGAATGAACGTATAATAAGAGAAGAGGTCTACACATAATATAATAAGGCTGTAATATTCATAGTCCTTTTTCTTGAAGAGCCTGTGACATCACTACCAAAGGTAAGTCAGGTACATGCAGAACCACTCGCCAGATTATCAATAGGGGCAAACCAATTTTATATGCCTAGTGCCATGATAATCAAAATGATGCTGTGAGCAGGGTGGAAGAGAGCAATGGTGCCGGGGTCCCTGTGACAACTGATGTTTGTGTTAACTCCTATAGACTCACATTGCCAGAAGTACATAAAAATACTCAAATGTTATGAACAAAGTCTATCAACAAACAACATGAATTGAATGCCTGCTAGTTGTAAACCACTAGGTCATCTAAGGAGTAATAAATGATGTGGTAGACATAGTCCCTGCAGGAAACTTAAAATCTAATGATGAAAGTAAAATAATTGAGTACCTGCATTAAATTATTGTGCCTTTTATGTATGGATCTGATGCATGTGTGTGTGAGAGCCTGAGCTCACGAATGTGGTTACAGAACAAATAATCTCTAAGCTGAGGGTATGTTGATCAAGAAAGAGAGATTCAGTGGCACTGTAGATATCAGATGGGCTGAGAGGAGGAAAGGGGCTTTAGATTTGGCCAGAAAATCAATGTAATTGAGAGAGAGAGAATGGAAGCCAGATTCCTAGGGGGCTGAAGGGTAAATCAGTGAAAAGGAAATGAAGGAGTTTGAGTCATGACAGTTTCAGATCAGGAGTCAGCAAACTTCTGTCAATGGCCAGCTAGTATGAATATGTGGTGCTATTTTCCAATAAAACTTGATTTACAGTAAATAGGCAGTGGGCTGTATTTTGCTGAACTCTACTTTAGACTACCACAGGCCTAAGTGCTTTTGAGTTGAGTGTTAGAATTGAACCTATAAAAGAAATCCAAGAAGCTTAGTGGAGGTTTACAGATTACGGCAAAGTATTTGCCACTCATCAGTGAGCAATGAGTGGGATTAATATGTACAGATTCTTAGCTCATTGGTTAAAATTTTAAGTTCATCTGGACTTTTCCTACTGGGTGATTAATGCCCTTTTAGTAGAGATCAATTTAATTCACATAATAAAAAATCTGAATTATTATAAACCAGATAGTTTATAGACCTCCTTTACGTGAATGATTAAAAATATCTTTAAAGCACCACTTCTACAGTTTCTTTTTACTCTCTTGCTCATAGATATCGATGAATGCCAGCACCAGCATCTCTGCTCTAATGGGCAGTGCAGGAACACTGAGGGCTCCTTCCGCTGTGTTTGTGACCAGGGTTACAGAGCATCCGCCCTTGGGGACCATTGTGAAGGTGAGAATTGCTCTTGATTTCAGAATTGTAAAATGCCAGAATCAGAGGGAAATCTGGACATCATCCCAACCTCTGCCTCGAGCCCAACCTTTTGACTTCACAGTTGAGGACATTAGGTCCCTACAAAATATTTTCCCCGTGATCACACAAATAACACAAAGAAGTGAGTAGAATCCAGGTTTTCCTTGTACTGCTTGGAGCTGTTTTTTAGAAGAATTATGCCAGCTAGACGAGTAAAGAATCAGTTTAACTTTTCTCAGCTGTAGATGGTTTATCCTGGGTATATAGTTCTGAACTATATCACCTTATTTATGCAGGACCAGCATCCAAATGTTCCAAATAAGTAAATACAAGTTAATTTTCTAGATAACTGGAAAGTTTTTAAGAGCCAAACTATAATTCAATTTTGAGCTTTTTACATAAAATATTTCTAAAACATATCCCACAAGTATAGCATTGTGTGGTCATTAACCTCTTTCTCTACCTCCCACGGCTCAGGACCTCTCCGAGGTGGTCAGGGCTGCTTAGCCAGTCTGTCACCAACCTTTCACTTGTGACATTTCAGTGTCCACCCAAGTAACAGTTTTTTCCCAGCTCATCTGCTGAGTTGCTGCATTTAGACCCTGTCAGTTGTAAAACTAGAAATGTGAACATGACAGCGTTGTGCCTCACATGGAGAGTTAGTCTCTGAGTGAGGGTCTGAGGCCTACCTTTGAGAGAAGTGGATGAACTTTTTAGTGAGTGGTTTTGTGGCACATATTTCAATGTCCCCAAATACTTTTTCACTTGTCAGTCCCAGTTGGTTGGGAAAGAACCAGTGTACTTTATAGCATTCTGCTTTTCTGACCAGAGAACTTGGCATAAGCAGTCACAACTCTTCTGGAGGGCAATTTGGCCAGTTTCAGAGGCCTTAAAATATATATTATCATTGAATCAGTAAATCATCTTCTAGGATTTTATCCTAAGGTGGTAGGGTTCTTCAAAGGGTTAATAACACCAGTGAAAACTTGTAATCAACACACTTATTAAAAAATATGCAAATGGTCAAACAAGTGATAATTTGAAATAATGAAATTTGATTGTCTGAAAAATCGTCTTTGGGGAACTCTGTAATGTATGGGTAAATGTTAATGATTCAACCTGGTGGCATTCCAAGCGGGAGAGATAGTTGTGTTGTTGGAGCGAGTCACGGAAGAACCTATTCTTAGAAGTAGGGAGGTGGCAAGGCACAAACTAAGGCCCTTGAAAAGGTCAGTTTAGGAAACTGACCACCAGCGTCTCCTCTGCCCTAATTCTTGGCCTAGCGAGAGGGTAATCAGGCCATTGATTAAGTCTTGGCCAATGGATCCTCATTTGAGGGCATGTTCCTCTATTTTAGCTGTTTTAGTGTGTAACCATCTCATCAGAAGTCCAAATTTTTATTCTAAAAACATCCATTCCATGAAAAGCCAAACAAAAACTTTTTAGCCAACTTGTTCGTCATTATTAATATATATGTTCCATAAGAAAGCCTCTTTGGGAGTATATAATTGGGCCCTTTTCTCTTAAAATCAGGGCTAATTTCCCTCATGTTCTGGGTTATAAATGGGACTGGAGTCCATTCAACCAATTCAGAGCTCCCTTTGAGACTATATTAGCACTTCAGCCTGCTAATTCCTAACTAGTACTGTTTCCGACCCTCTCCAGTGGTATTTAGCTGTAATTAACTGAGCTGTGACTGTTCACGTGCCTCTCACAGCTGTGGGAGGAAGAGCCATCTTTCTTGTTGGCTTTTATATTTACATGTGTAATTTCCCTATAATAACTCTGGCAAAGACCTTGTTTTCTTACAGTATTATCCCGCAATCCTGCTGGCCTTCTCTTAGAGTCAGAATCGCAGATATTGTGCTGATTTCTGTGTGCTGCTTACTCCAGCATATGCTCAGTAGCCACTCAGTCTGTGATGATGGGTGGCCTCCGTTGTTCTGGTTATTAGAGCTCTTGGCATCTCAGCCTTCAAAGGTCCTGCCTCGGACTTGTTCCCCTTTCGAGCACAGTCTCTACTTCCATGCCTACCTTAGCACCTTCTCCAGCCCCTCACTATAGTTGCTCCGTAGTAGTGCCTTGCAAAGCCTGAGAAGATTCATGATTTACTGTCTTCCTGTGGCCTTTCTCTCTTGGTCATTTCTTTATGGACCAAATCAAAAAACGTGGGAGGAAAGTGCTAGTATTTCTTGCCTTCTGACATTTCTTTCCATGTCAGAATCATTCACTTATTCATTTATGCATTTGTTCGACAAATATTTGAGTGTGAAGTATGTGCCAGGTGCTGTTTTAGATACAAGATGTACAGCAATAAACCAAACAGACAAAAATTCCTGCCCTCGCAGAGCTTACATTTTAGTGAGGGAGATAACAATAAACATGATAAATAAGTAAAATATATAGTTTGTTAAATGGCAATAAATGTTACAGAGAAAAATAAACTGGGGTCTATGGGGGGTGCCGAGGGAGGGAGGGTGGTGATCTTAAAGAGGCAAGCAGAGGCTTCCCTGAGATGATGGCATTTGATTATTTTTGGGATGAGCATTCCATTCAATGGCACAGCAGATGCAAAGGTCCCGAGGAATAGGGTTTGTAGAGGAGCTCAGGAGCCCGACTTGGGTACTTTAAATTTGTGGTGCCATTAATGAGTATCCAAATGAAGATTTCTGAAAGGCAGTTGAACCCATGCATTGAGAATTCAGGGGCTGAGTTCTGGGCTGGGAGTCATCAGCATATAGACAATGTTTTAAAGCCATGAAATTGGAAGAGATCACCAAGGGAGTGAGCGTAGCTAGGAGAAAGAAGAAGTCCAAAGACTGTCTCCTGGCCCATCTTTAGAAGTGAGGAGATGGGTAGGAATAAGCAAAGGGGATTGAGCGGAAGTGGTAGGTGGGGAAGGAGGAAAACCAGAATCCAAGAGAAAAAAGTATTTCAAAGAGGAGAGAGTGTTGAACTGTGCCAAACACTGCGCTTGGTAAGATGAGGAGCAAGAATTAACTATGGGATTTAGCAAGATGGAGGTCATTGGTGATACTGACAAATGCAGTCTTAGTGGAGGGGTGGCCAAGATTGACTGTTGCCTTCCTTAAAGCCCCAGCTCTTGGAAGGAATCTGTCTTTCACAGGTCGTGGTGCAGGACAGTCCCAGGTTGGACTCTCTTAATATTCAGCCTACTCTGTTTTTGCTTTTCAAGACAGATCAGGGTCTTGAAAAAACATTTTAAACAATGCCAGACTTTAACATAAGGCGCTGAGTTTTAAAATCTATACAATTATTTATAAACACTTAGAATAATGCTGCTTTTTTCTCACATACGTTATTTCTCGTAAATTTTGGAAAATGAATGAGAAGCAAATTATTTTAATAGAGTGTGAACAAAGCTGACGTGCTTCCATTATGCTGAGGCAAACATCTAGGTAATGGAGTGTTTCTTTTGTTGCTTAAATTCATATTCTCAGGATTCTCCTTGATCATTTTTGAACTGAGATTTTTCACATAACGATAATGTCCAAATATGCCTTTTCTCGCTTCATTATCTCAGTTTCCTACAGAGCACAGAAAGAAAGGTAAATCTAAAAACAATCCTCCTACTCAACATCCATTAGGATAGCTCTGGAGCTATTAGAATAAATGTGGAACAGTTGGAACTTTCATACCCTGCCTGTGGGGATGTGAAATGGTACAGCCACTTTAGAAAACAGTTTTTTCACAAGTTAAACCTACAATATGACCCAGCCATTCTATCCTTGGGTATTTACTCGAGGAAAATGAAAGCATATGTTCATACAAAGACTTACACATGAATGTTTATGAAAACTTTATTCATAATAGCCAAACTGTAAACAATCCAAATACTCATCAAAAGGTGAATGGGTAAACAAATGGTGGTACATTTATACAATAGAATGCTACTTGGCAATATAGAGAAGAGAGCTATTGATACACACAACAACTTGGATGAATCTCAAAAATGCTGTGCTGAGCGGAAGCAGCCAGAAGCAAGGGCACCAGGAAACCTTTTGGTTTTGGTAAAAAAAAAAAAAAAACACAAAAAACTTTTTTTTGTAATGATTGGTCCAATTTATTTATTTAGTACATGTTTTATGGCAAAGATTCATAAATAGTAGGCTAGAATTTATCCCTGTTTGGCACAATCACTATTCAAAATCATGAAATTAGCAGAGAGTTGATGCTTAAGAACTATTTTCACAGAATTTATATTTAAGAGCCTGTTCTCAATTAACCTTGGTTCCACTTTAAGAAATCTTGATATACCAAGGGTCAGTTAACTGGTGAATAAAACATTGGTGGGCATACTTAGATTTCAGAGGAAACACTTATTCCTCCATTCTGTTATTTTAATTGTGCATTGTGGTTCCTTTACTGTCTTTTTCACAGCAATTATAACTCCCAAGGCATTAGGTTAATAGGAATGGAGATCTTAAGGTCAGATTGGAAAAAAAGAGTCAAAGGAAAACATCACCAGGCTTAGGCTTTATGTTTGTCACTACAGAATGACATCCTTACAAAGATGTCTCATCTTTTCCTTAAAAATGATTGCATTTGCAATGACTTAAGAATCTAACAGTGGATTCTAACGGATATAAATTGATATAGAAATGCCTATACCTTGATTGTGATGGTGGTCACAAAGACAGATCAACTCATTGAACTGGTCTTTTAAAATTAGCTGCATTTATTGTATGTAAATTATACTTCAATGAAGTTAGAAAAACAAAAGAAAAAGCAATAACCTGCTTTAGTTGTGACAAAGTCATATCAGGTATGTTTTACATTTTAGGGTCAGTATTCAGAAACATTTTAAATCTGGGTGAACATCATAACTTGTTTTTGTTTTGCTGTAAAGAAATTATAAGGTGCTTTCTTATTTCTCTTTTATTTGTCCTATGAATGGTTCAGAAGCCAGTTAATTGGTTGATTGGATTCTATGAGGAAAACTTAATTTGGTGTCCCCATATTTTGAACCAAACAGCTAAGAGAATAAGAGAGATTACAACAGTCTGCATATTCACTTGTTCCTGGAGCTTCTCATATATTTTAGCAGCAATTGTAATTATTTGCAAAAAAATGCCATAATATGCCAAATTCTGAAAAAACAAGGTTTTATTTCTTAGCTTTTTTCAATGCTAATAATTTAAACCGTGCACAGACAACAGAAGAAGGACTCGTGGAGTGCGTTAGAAATAATGAGCTCTGACTAGGAGTAAATGTGGTAATAAACAGCCCTCGTGAGTGATCTGCCTGGCATTCATGCAGTGAGAGGGTCATTAATTGTCTCAAACGCTCACAGTCAAAACTCATTAGTGGTTACGTAAACCATTTTTAGTTGCACATATGCTATAAATATGTACATTAAAAAATTCAGGCAACATCAAACCTGTTTGTGATAGCTGTGGCTTCAAGGAGGCTTTTGATCTTGACAATTCCCTTCCCTGCCAAAAGCCCCTGTTCCTGCCCCTCTACTTTCCACCCTGCTGTCAAGACTCCAGGTAAATTCCTTCTGTTACATGAAGCCACCTTTGACCTTAGTGATATGTCTTCTCTAAATTCATGTGATACCTGAAGTTGATATTATTCTTTTGACAAATAAATTTTTTGAGAATTCTTATGTTAAATTGTTTTGGACTGATAAAGCAATTAAATATTTTATATATTTATTTTTATTAATAGAATTCATTTTTTTGAACAATCATTGTTCTGTGGGGGCAGGGACTATGCCAAATTATTGTTTGTTACAGAATTTTGACTTTTCCTCTTCCAATTAATTTCGTTTGATGTTAAAACTTCAGTTTATATATTATTCAAAGCTAAAATCCTTTCAAAATGTTTCATTTTTTAAAAATTCTGCAAGTTACAAAGCTGTCATCCGTTTAAAATTACGTGTTTTGAGATATAAAATAATGTTCATTTATATGATTTTTGTGTGTAAAGATAAGGAAAATAGTTAATTTTCTTAAGTTATTAAGAATAAATTAAGAAATAGTTTATTTCGTCTTTTAAATTTTTAAAATTGACTTGTAGATATCAACGAATGCTTGGAGGACAATAGTGTTTGCCAGGGAGGCGACTGCATTAATACTGAAGGGTCCTATGATTGTACTTGTCCAGATGGATTCCAGCTAAATGACAACAAAGGATGTCAAGGTACTTCTCTCTCGTTTTTTTGTCATAATTTACATAGTTGCTGAGTTCTTTGATGCTCTCTGATGATAGTCTGTGGTTTTACCACTTTATATGTCAATGAGCTATGCCAATTCATAGTATTAGAATATCTTTCTTGGGTCTGCAGCAAGTATAGGAAGTTCTCGCTTTACCCTGCACCGTGTTAACTGAAACTCATGCGTTTTAGAACTGTGTCCTAGCTTTGCATGCTTCTCTGGTACTTTGCTGTTCCTTTCATGGGCCAGCCTTGATACTTGACTCTAAATTCTAGCTTTTTTATATCCTTTATGGGCATATTTCATTTTGTCCCACAGCTGATATTTATCTGTCCTTTTCCTGATCCCTGTTGTATCCAGTATCCAGCTTTTTCTTTTCCTAGAAAACCTCATTAATAATTTGGTCAAAATTATAGAGGACAGCATTTTATATTTTTCCAAGTGCTAATCACATTTACTCTCTTAAACAGCAGTACAGTGGACACAAGGTACTAATAAGAACACAGTACCGATCACAACCCCAGCTTTAATGGAACACCTACTGTGTGCCGACTACTGTGGGTGCTTCATTTAATTTGTAGAGAATTTAAGAGGTAGCTTTTCTTATACCCATTTTGTGCGTGAGGAACGAGGCTCAGAGAAGTTAATTAGCATGCTGCTCCCTACTAAGCAGTACAGCTGAAATTTGAACCTGTGATCTTTTCCCACTACTCTTCCCTACATTGCCAAACCAATTATCGTTGTATTTATAGCCAAAAGAAAGAAGACAGTGAGGTTCATTGTTTTTTCCCAGTGTAACACATTGAGTTATTATTGATGCTGGGACTGAAAAATCAGATTGTCCAGGTCCTTTGTGTCAACATTTTTACCTACACCTGGCTGCCCCACAAGTTTGCCTATATTTATTAGTCTTAATAAATCCATGACTATTTTTACCATTGAAAACTCACATTTATATTTACCTTTACATTTATTAATTTCTGATGTTGGGTAAATTATTTTTCCTTATTGTTCCTCTGCCATTATGGAACTCTGTAGTGTATCCCAAAGTGCATATAAATAAAGGATTGTTGGAGTTATTCTTTACACTGCTCCTGGACATGTATGATTATTTTATTCTGGATTGTCATAAATTATATCTCCTCTCACATGTCCCAAATTACAGTATTCTTGAAAGGGAAGATGGTGTCTACTCTCTAAGATGTGGTACTGGGATAATATTATATCCTATCCATATCATTATCCACACCCAGATGTGTGTCACTGAGACAGGAAAGACTTGGGCCTTTGCCTCAAGATCTTTTAAAATTAATTCCCTTACTGATCTTAAGATTTAAATATACTGTGGTGTACCTCATTTGATATCATATATTTAATGCCTTTATAATACAATAAGGTGAATTCCAATGCAGAAATTAAATGTGCTTGGATTTAATGCAGTGGAAAAGGAACATTTGAATTATAAATTTGTGAGAATATTTCCATTTTGGGATTTTTACATCTTAATAAAATGAATCTTGATTTATATAAAATCATGATGCCAAGAGATGCCCAGAGAAATCCATCTGAATCCTGTTTTTATTACAGACATTTGGGCTTAAAACACTTTTTTCTTTTCTAATTCCTCTCTTGTCACAATTTTTTGACTGAATAGAGGCAAAAACCAAGTCTTGTATAAATGCACCATGATTTCATATGGCAAATTTTATAAACTTCTCAAGTCACAAGAAACTAATTTAGTCATGCGATTCATTAATTGGCACTGCTATCTTCTTTCAGTTCATTAAATTTGTGTTTGTGATTTGATATCAACTCAAATATATGACTGCTCCAAACATGTGATGTATATTGACTAAAATCATTATTAAATTGACTTCTGTCCCATTGGCGATTCCTGTTTTCCAGAATAAATTAATAAGTCTGCTTGAAAACTTAAATCCAAACAAATGAAAAATATTGCTGAAGCAGGTTTTAGTACTGTTTAAAGAATATTATCTATGAATCTGCTCTGTCATGCACCTCCTCCAATTAGAGGCTGTGTATAATAGCATGGACACTCAACTTATTTATTTATTTTTTTTAATTTTATTTATTTATTTTTTTCCCCCAAAGCCCCAGTAGATAGTTGTATGTCATAGCTGCACATCCCTCCAGTTGCTATATGTGGGACGCGGCCTCAGCATGGCCAGAGAAGCGGCATGTCGGTGCGCGCCCGGGATCCGAACCCAGGCCGCCAGCAGTGGAGCCCGCGCACTCAACCGCTAAGCCACGGGGCCGGCCCTCAACTTATTTTGAATCATTTCTTTTTGCTATGTCACTCGAGGCCTTGTGATCCTTCATTCTGCCTGAGTTAGTAGCCTACTTCTGTCTAATCCCATGATCATGTCAGCATTCTGTACATAGGTGTAGATTCCGTTGTTTGTTTTAATACTGAAAATGTAATTGATGACAATGCTCATAACCATGGGACATATTTGAATAACAATGTGATCAGCATAAACTTTAAACCTTACCTAATAATCTGAAGATAGTTCCATAGTCAGTAAGGCATTTTCAGTTGGAAGTGTAAGAGTCTCTTCCCCCAGAAAAATTAACAATGATATACAGATAGCATGGAAATTCCATGTTAACAGTATCTTTAGGAATGTGGCAGCCTACATTTGAGATTCAGAACACACTTCAGTTTCACATTTTGACTTACGCATGCCAAATTGTGAATTTCTGTGGAATCTCGGACCCATGAAAGAAACCCAACTTAAATATAGCCTGGCTTTCAGCTGAGTTACTAGCAGCATAGTTTAGAAATGCCTCAATAAGTACAGCCCAAATTGAATGCATATGTTTCTCTAGTTCCAGATATTCATGTTGTTCTTGCTTAGTGGTTTCCTGGAAAAAAATCTGAGAATTCGTCTTCAGTTTCTGTCATCAGACTTTTTAGACAATTATTTGTTAATCAATGACTTCTCTTGAAGCAAGAACTTTATGCACTTTATTCCCTGTGTGAGGTTGCAAAGCTGGCAACTTTTAAAGGGCTACATTGAGGCATAGGATAAAATAAGAAGGAAGTCTTGGTTAACCTCCTGGGCTCCACAAGTTGGATATGGACCTTGGTCTTGATCTCCTGGCCAGTGGAACTTCATGGCATCTTGTTGTCCAGGTAGAGGTAACTCTAGGCAGCAGGTTGGAAAGAAAGAATGGAACTAAAGGCTAAGAGAAGGTCAGAGTTCAAAAAAGATGACCAATCTAAAGTGTTATCAGCTGGTTGGAAACAAACAGAAGATATCAGAGATTTTATAAAAGAAATAAAGAATTTCACAGAGTAAAATCATATTGATAAATAGTCAAGGAGAAAATGATTCATTGCCTTTCCTTGAAATATTTTAAAATTAGTAACAATAACAAGAATAGGAGGATTGTTAAGAAAAGATGAGTAGTTCCTGCTTGGTTTCTTATTTTGATTCAGCAATAAGTCTGAATTATACCTGGATGGAAGGGTAAAGAGCTCAGGATTAATACAGAGAGATGGATACATCAATGATATTGCCAGAATTCCTGTTGTACAATGAGATCAACAATCAAAAAGAAGATCCCCAGGAGATCTTGGATGCAGGGAAAGGGATGACTTTATGGAGGAGAAGAGGTACAGGGTTGATGATGAAGCATGTTCTTCGCGGTCACTAGGAAGGGCTCATGCTCTGTGCCTTTTTCATGCTCCCATTAAGATTTGCAGTTATTCATGTTGGTTCCTGCTTCCCTTATTATATTGTGAGCTTCAGAATGGCAGGGACCCCATCCTATTCAACCTTTTCATAGGAAGCATTCAATAAATGTTTTTAATTGAATTAAAGATGGACTTCTAAGAGGATGAATCAAGGACCTCTTTAGTAAGAGGTAAAGGAGGGCCTAGGAGACTTGAGGAAGATAGGAAAATGACCTTAGTAGGGCTACTGCCTGAATGGTGCCAAGGATAGTGATAGTTTTTATGATCCCGATTAAAGATTTTTTTTTTTATTTATTTATTTTTCCCCCAAAGCCCCAGTACATAGTTGTCTGTCATAGCTGCACATCCTTCTAGTTGCTGTATGTGGGACGCGGCCTCAGCATGGCTGGAGGGGTGGTGCCTCGGTGCGCGCCCGGGATCCGAACCCGGGCCGCCGGCAGCAGAGCGCACGCACTTAACCGCTAAGCCACGGGGCCGGCCCAATATGATCCCGATTAACTAAGAGAACCTTAACCAATCACTGTTCAGTTAGTAGAGAATGAACAAAACTGTGAAATTTGGTGGTGGCCAGACATTTCTAACACACTATTAATATGCTGTGCTAGGAGTTGGGGACTCACTAAAATCTACATTTCTCCTCAGGGAGCGTCAGTGTAATGAGGGACACAGGTGAGTAAAACAACAATTAAAACGCAGTGCAAATAGGCAGTTGCATGGGTCAGTACCAATGTGAATAGGAGAACCATTCTCCAGGATTCCTTATGTTGTGTCAACTTGGGCATTGTTATCCAACATAATTAGGATACGTTTCACTTACACCAAACACGTTGCACATTATCAGTGTTTAGGAGTACATCGTGACCCTGGCCATGGGGAGCATAATCACTCTTCATTGCAGACAAGCAGAATGTAAGATGGTCAACACAAGTTTAACTACAGCATGATTTGTTCATGAGTCTTAATAATAGTAGCTACCGCTTTTTGACCCTTAGTTGTGTATCAGGAACCTGTGCTAAGCTCTTGACCCTCATTCACTAATTTCATCATCACGAAGCTGTGCAAATAATAAGAGCTTCCCTGGCTTAAAAGGCCTTCTTTTTCTTGTATTTTATTTCTTTTATCCGTTTTCAAAGAAATATAGATCGGAGTCTATTTTGTTTATATATTCAGCAGACATTTGTGAAGTGCCATTTGTGAACCAAATACTCTAAATAAGATATGTTCAGCCTTGCCCTTAAGAAGTTTGCATCCTGGGGATAAATAGGCATGGACGTGACGAGAGGCGTGGACGTGATGAGATGCTACGGGCTACAACAGAGTTGTGTGCATAGTGGTGGGAGAGGACAGTGGAGAACACAGCATTCTCACTGATGAAGAATAGTTCACAGAGGAGTTGTTTATGCTATTCGAGTCTCAAATATACCTCAAGCCTCTGATATGTCTGAGAAAAGGCTACCTTTGGGTCGAACCTATGAAATTGCTTTCTTTGTCGAAAATGGTTGCACATTGGCTATTTCATATGATTCAACCTAGTTTCTTTGTCATGACGATTCAGCCTGTCATGTGGTCTGGCGTATGTACAAATGGTGTATTTGTGCCACAAAATAAATGTCTGACCATTTTGTAATAGATTTTGCTCACTATATGTCTGATATCATGTGAAAACAGAACAGATTTTTTTTCAAGCATTTGGAACGCCTTTTAATTCCAGATATTAATGAATGTGAACAGCCGGGACTCTGTGGTCCTCATGGAGAGTGTCTCAACACAGACGGTTCTTTTCACTGTGTCTGTGAGCAGGGTTTCTCAATCTCTGCAGATGGCCGTACATGTGAAGGTAAGATAAACCATAAGAAATCATATAGTTATTGCATTTATAAGCAGAGAAGAGATTGCTTTCTATTTAAACAGGCAAAGTCTCTAAGACACTAAGAGATACTCATAATTTAAGGCCTCAAAACATGTATGCATCAAGGTGGCTCCTACCTGAAATCACATTCCAGGGGTTCTTGGGATTTGCAAATAGGATAACCTAAGGTTATGACGGTGAAAATACTCAGAGGATTCCACTGCTGGTGCTGAATTAATGAATCGAAATGTGCAGGATGTAATGATTTTAAATGTACTTGGGAGACCTAAAGGAGAGCTGTGGCGACCTCTGGTGTAACTCGAGGCTCTGCCAGTTTTGGTCCTGCTTCGTATAGATCATCTTATCATTTGGTTTATAAAAATATCTTGCTTGATTTTTCTCTGTACCATTGTCAGCAGAGGTTTTCCAGAGTTATTCTTCTAGTGTTCTTAGCTCTAAGCCAGTGTATTTTCTTACCTGTCAGTATTTAGTATCTCCTAAAAGCTACTTAAGTTGTAAGACATTAAGATAACACTGTTGGCTTCCCGTTTGCAACCTCTGTGTGTTTGCAGGGATACAGCATTGGTTATATTCATAAGATTTATGTTCTTGATGACTTATTATAGTTTGATAAATTGAGGAATAATTCATCAGAACCTTTTTAAAAGTAAACTGAAAAGATGCCCCAAATTATACTTTCAATCCCTCTCTTTAAGAATCTAGGTTATCAAAACCCAGCTATGTCTTAAAGAAGTAAATTGTGGAGGTTCTGTTCTGGGCCTGTGATAGTACCCAAATTCTTTGCTGTAAAAAATAGTGCAAGAGGAAGTGTCTGCTCTCCTGGCTCGTACCACAATGGAATCAAGCCGAGGAGCAGCGACCAGGTTCATCTGAAACTAATTATTATATTGGGAGGAATAAACCGATCTTATAAAAAGAAGGAGATTGTTGAAATTGCTCTCCTGCTGAGCAGACAAAACATTGATGCCAAATTTGGCTTAAAGTGAAAGAGAGATAGTGCCGGGTGGAGTTTGAGCAAGCAGATTTTGAGGGGTGTGGAAGTGATCAAAATTTGGGAAATGGAGAAAAACATTGTAAAAACGTGGCCATGAAAAATGTATAAGGACTCCGTGTTTCAGTGGTTGGAGTTGTACATTAATTTTATATTTAGAGCTCTTAAGAAAGACATTGCATGAATGCATTCATTCTTCTGGACAGATCCCTGCATTCCCTGGCAGAGGGATAGGATACTGACCCATGTGAGTCACTGATAAAACCGATTTGCCAAATGCACGTTTCCCTGCATTGCAGAAAGGTGCAGGTTTGCTGCTTCAGTTAGCTCTAAAGCATGGACGGTAAAGGCTTGCCTCACTGAAAAATGCTCCAAGTTGTAATTGCTGATGGTTGTGCTGTGTAAAAACTATGTTCAGAAAAAATGTAAGTCATCTGAAGTGCTCACTAGTCAAAGCTATTGTTCCAGAAGAATATACCAATATAAATATATTCACGTTTATTTTGTCTTTTATACTTAGTAATTTTTCTTTAATTCTGTATCTTTTTAAATACTGATTTAAGCAACTGGAGAGTTACTTGCAGTTAGTTGCAGTTCTAATTTTGTTAGGCATTTACTTGGCAAGGACTTGAATTTAAAAACGTGTTTGTAGAAAACGTCTAGTGCTTTGTAAATTAGTATACTATAGTATACTTTCTTTGACACTTGGTCCCTTATTTTTACTTCAGAAACTGGACAATTTTACAAGTAATAAAATAGGTAATTTATAATATTGTGTTGCTATATGGCAGTATAACTAGAAATCGCTGTAATGGTCAGGCATGTTATTCCCTTTCTAGAATAAGCTTTGCAAGGCTTTCGTTTTTTATGAGCCTAACCCAATATATTAAACTGGTCCAAATTTTCTTTTGTTGGACTTAGTTTCAAACTTGTGTCAGTTGCAGTATGTCCTGATTCTACCCCTGGCTATGGTGTAGGATGAAGCCAGCCCGTGTGATCAGGATTTAGCTATGGAGCTGATGTGCGTAGACCTTGAATTAACATTGAGAAGTGACTAGCACTCTTACTTCATGCCCTTCCACCGACTTACTTCTGAACTTCTGGTTAAAGCAGCCAAAACCATGTGGACACTGGGGCTGCCATACCCTGCTGTAAGTAGGCTAAATGGATCCTGCCCAGCTGAGAGAAGGAAGGCTCTTCCCTGATTTCCCATGGCATGGAGAGTTGTCAGCGTCTGATCACTGTTATTGAAACACAATGAAGAGGCATACTCTGTCAACATGAGCCGTCTCCTGCAAGTAGCACAGCAGATTCTATAGAAATAAAAACAGCACCACTGGCTCCTTCCTTTCCCTTCTGTATGTGGTACTCTGGGAGCACGTGCCTGGGAGGGGAAGGAGAAACACCTTGCTTCTCCCACATGAGATGAAGAACACCAGCGTGATGAAGTTCCAGTGGAGTGGGAAGTAAGTGGTGGGTGAGCAGCTATTTATTCATTCACTCAACAAGTAGTTACAGAGCACCTGCTTTGTGCCAGGCACTGTTACTGTTCTGAGGGCAAAACACCCAGTTCTTGTCTACGTGGAGCCAGGAGAGGAATCAGGGATAAATAAGTAAATAGTATATATAGAAAACTATGTTTTTGTATTTAAATAATATAACATCATTATACTTTATAGATATAAATAAGTGCAGGGTGCGACATGCCATATGTAATATAATGCACAGGTGGTTTTTCTCAAGTCCCATACGTGGATGTCAGAAAAGTGCGGGGGAACAAGACCCTTTGATTGGCTTCCTCCTCTATACTTTCCTTTCTTCTCATAACCACAGTTCATCTCTGGTTATGAGAAGCTTTTATCTTGTGTAGAAAAGCAAAGGAAACTTTTTGCGTCTTTCACTCAGCTCACTGTTTTATATCCCAATTTATCTTATCCATTTGTTTTAAAATAAAATTCTTCTGCTCTTTTTTTCCATTTTTTTATTGTGGAATTTTAGTTCATAGGAAAAATATTTATCATTCCATTTATAAGCTGACTCAGGGTTTGGTTTCTTCATCAGCAGAATGTGTGTGAGTGGGAGAAGAATAGGGAAACTTGTGACAGTCGGATTCCTAAGTGTCACCACGTCTGTCCCCAGACCCCCATGGAGAAGTGCCTCCTGGTCTCTGACTTTGCATCACTCCATTCACCTTCCTCTCTGCATGCTGCTCTCGGCCAGGAGCCCCTGTGCTCTCCCAGTTAGGCATCCAGGTTGAGTGAGAGCTTGTATGACAACAAGTGGAGTTGGGGTCAGACATCTCTAGACCTCACTGTGCTTTCCAGCGTGTACACACAGTAGAATCTTGACTCTTGTCTAGTAGGGACCCCAAAGGAGCCCAGCAACACAGAGGGAGCATCAGTGGCTTACAGAATCTGGTTAGTCATGGCTAATTAGGCCTCCAAACCATGACCAAAATCACTCCCTAAGGCCTTGTCTTTTAGAAAGCATCCTCATTCTTTCATTCATTTGACAGATATTTATTAACTGTATACTGTGTACCAGCCACTGTTGTAGGTACTGGGGCTATGTCAGCAAACAAAAAAAGATCTCCACTTTTATTGAGGCAACAAACGAACAAACTACATATATGCTAGAAAGTGATAAACCCTATGGGAAAAAAAAAAAATAGAGCAGAGTAAGGAAGGTCTGAGGTCTAGAACAAGGAACGGGAAGCTGGTACGATGCTAACTAGGGTGGTCAGAATTGGCCATTCTGCCTCTGTAATGTGGGTTTATGAAAGAAATATTAAAGTTTTGTGTGTAACAAATGAAGCCATATTAAGTGCCTTTTTCAAACTAGTTGTCCACTGGCTAAGTGATAATAGCTTGTCAATAAATAGACAAGAGGGCATGAGATTGTCTGCTGAGGGCCCTTTTCACATTGCCAGCGTGAATTCTGTTATCCAGACGGGAATGAAAAATCAGAGTACAATACCAAGAGCAAACCCTAATGTAAGCTGTGGACTTTGGTTGATAACAGTGTGGCTATGTACATTCATCGATTGGACAAATATACCACTCTGATTCGGGGATGTTGATAGTGGGGGAGGCTGGGGAAGGGGAGGGGAGTTAGGGAATATGGGAACTTGCCGTGAAATTTTACTGTGAACCTAAAACCGCTGTTAATAATGTTTTTTAAAAATCGGACATTTCTGAAATTACCTATTTTTCATCAGAAAGGAAAAATCAAAACCTTTAATTTTAATTCTGTATTCCACTCCTATATTTTCCTCCCCTGAACGTTGTTGTGTATTTCTCATTTTTCAAAATAGTACCTCAGATGGAGTATGTTATCAGAAGCTTCTGCTCCCAGTTTCAAAACAATTCTTGTATTGATTCAAAACTTGAGAACTATAGTATTGGAAGGGGACTTCTTGTAACATCTAGCCTGAACTCTGAATCCCACAGTATTCAAAGAATCAATCTACAGAGACTCTGATCCCATAACCTTTTTAGATATCTACTATAAACCACTTCTTGCTAACTCATTCGTTTGAAAGGGAAAATACAACAAATGCAAGTGGTAAGGATGGGTAGCTTCTGGAAATTTACTGAGAACAGTGATATCAGAAAGACTAAAAGAAGTTGGATTCAAACTCTTAGGCCAATTTTGTGTTCATTGAGAACCAAAAAATGCAGTAAAGGCAACTTTTGCCAAATCAAAGAAATAAAATTGAATTGTGAGCAAGTGTGGTTTTGTTTTCAGACTTTTAGGTACATTTTCTACGAACAGCGTAGAAAGAAAGTATAAAACCATTGTTGTCAATGCTCCAAGGCAATTGGTGGTTTTGTGGCATGGAGATAGAACTTTATATCTATCACCAAAGAGAAAATATTTTTGAAAATGATTTAGCCAAGTAGGACATTGAAGTATCTGACACAATGATATATTACATCTGGCTGCTTGGCCCAAAGATATTTAGGGTTTTTTCCCA